AAAGTCATCTCAGTTTTTATATAGGGCCATATTTGCCTGTCCACAAGCGAATAGGCAGTCTATTAATGCCGAGATTAAAGTTTTTACACAGGGCCATACGTGGCTAAGTAATAGAAACTGTCACACAGTCCTTTGATGCAGCCGTTTAGAACTTTTCATGGGGCCATACGTGGCTACATAATAGCGAATTGACAGTCTATTACTGCCGACCTTTAAGTTTGTTCACGAGGCTACATAAGAAACGCTATACTCTTGGGGGGGGGGGGGGGGGGTAAATATCTTTCATTTTCCAAAGTGGTCATATTTACCCCTGTAAATGAGAAATAAACAAGTTCAGCGTTTAACCGTTGAAGTATTTTCACGAGCCCATGCGTGGCAACCTGTAAGAGAAATACAGTTGAGTTCACACTAAACTTCCCACCCTTGTGCACTTCTAGTGCACTAGAGCTGAACTAGAAGTGCACACCGTGTGCACTACTAGTGCACTAGACCATATGACCAGGCTGACCAGGGAAGGTGACACCTAAATGGTTTATTGGATAATTGCATATCAAGTGACAAGGGGGGATCTATTGTTAAGCTGCTGTAAGAAAAACAAAATTTGGGAATATAATTGTGGCCTATTCATGAATATTAATAAGTAAATTTTAAAATAAGCAGTTTTAACATTTTAAGTGATATCATGTTAAAGCTTAAATTAAAAACAAATATATTTATTGTAATCATATTTTTCTTAACCCGTATTTAACTGTAAGTGTAAAATAATACCCCTTAAAATCAAATTTATAGAATTAATAAGGTTATTTGTAAATAATAAATATGCTCCATAATGGATATTTAAATAAGTGTTTTTAAATGGCCATGCATTTCAACTTTTCTAGTGTACAAATTGGAAAATCTGATAATTTTGGCCGAATTAATCTAGTTTGTCATTAATCTAGTTTTTCATAAGCTCAAACAAATCAAGGAAAGGTTTATATTTAAGCTAAAATATTATTTCTATAATATATAACTTAGAGATAATTCCTCATGTTGAATATTGAAAGAGAATATTTAAAAAAAATCGATATACTGTGATAATTTAGTATTCAACTGTGTAATGCTTGCATATGTTTTAAAGATATAAATAATTAAAATATTATCCATAAAATAAATAAATTTGATAACTTTATACATGATTTCAATATTAAAAATTTAATGTATAAGGGGAATTACTTTTATTGAAGAGGAAAATCTCAAGTCATCCTGTGTATTGAGGGACTGTTTTATTATACAACTCTCCTGCTGATAGGAGAGCCTCAGGGTAAATAACAAAGAACAGTCAATTTTGCAGATTATAAGTATGCATTGAAATTCCCTTGTTTTCTCAAAATGCATATTAGTCATTAGCCTGGGATTCATCAGGCGTTGGATCCCAAGCTTAAGTTAGTCATATAGATAAATGACCATAATTTTTGTATGGTCAAATATACAAAAAAAAAATCAAAATGGCAGAATGCGTATTAGATATATTATTGTCTCTAAAGCGGAATTTTCTATATTAATTCATTTATCCACATTTCTTCACATTCTGAATAATAATAAATAACTTAAGAGGACATTCCAGGTGTTTAAGAATGAAAGAGAATATTAATTCATTAATTTTAAAACAATTCATACACTGTGAAATTATGTTTTTCAACCATGAAATGCTTGCATTCTTTTTAATTTGAGATATAAATAATTAAAAAAATTCCATGAAATAAATAAAATTGATAACTTTATTCAAGATTTCTATATTAAAGATTTAATGTATAATGGGAATGCTTTAATACAAGAGGAAAGTCTCAAGTCATGCTGTGTATTGGTATTTTTCTGAGACTGAGCGACTATTTTCATTACACTGGTCTCCTGCTGATATATAAGAAGGCCTCAGGGTAAATAACAAAAATGCAGATGTATGCAATATTTATTTAAAATTTCCTGTTTTTTTTTTTTTAAATAAAGGTAAGACATAGATAAATGACTATAATGTTTGTATAATCAAATGTAAAAAATAATCACAATGGCATAAACGCATGTTAGATATCATTGTCATTATTGTCTTTGAAGTGGAATTTTCTAATCTTATCGTAAAAAACTGGTTTAATATCAATATCAGTTTTAACTATTCTAGAAAGACCTCATATCAATATTTATCCACATTTTTTGCAATTCTGCATTAAAATTTTCAGCATCTTTTAGTTTCTGAACTTGGAAATGTTAATTTTTTCTATTATAGATTTGACAAATTTGCCTTGTCAGTTTTAACACATTTAGAAGATAATATATTTTAAAGAAAATATTTAAATACATGATTATAAAACCTTTGCAACCTCCTTTTTATCTTCAATGCATATCTGTTTTTTTTGTTGTTTTTTTTAAATAAAATATCATACATGAGCAGAAGACAGTTACAGAAGATTAAAGTGTCAAAAGTCGTGCTGTGTATTGGTATTTTATTATAGTACGTACCCTGCTGATAAGAGAGCCCCTTGGGGTAAATAACAAAAGGCAGATGATAAATATAAGTAGGCAATGTAAATTCTGTATGTGCAAATAAATTTCATTACAAGTAGTACAAAAAGAAAACTGAAATATTTTAGCATTTTATAATGAACTCATAAAAATAATCATATTGCATAATTATGTTACAATGCAACTCATAAAAATAATCATATTGCATAATTATGTTACAATGCATGAAAAAAAAAAAGATAAAAGATTGGTGTTGTCTCAATAAATGTAAATGAAATATTTTCTAATCTTTTTGTTAATATCCATGTCAGTTAAAATATACTAGTGTCCAACAGGTACATATCCACTTAATCCACAACTCATACATACCACCATTATATGTAAATATTTTTATTTTCAGAATAATTTTTATCATTTATATTAATCCTAGGTAAATTTTGGTTTGAGAAGGTAAGAGAGATTTTAAATGAGATAAAATTGACAAAATTTAGGCCAATTATAAACATATTAATTCTTTAATGTATTAAAGGCTATTAATGCTTAAAATCATAACCTTTAACTAAAACAATTATAAGATAAGATAAAAAATAACTAATTTGTATAATTTGCCCCCCCCCCCAAAAAAAAAAAACAACAAAAAAAACTGAATTTTTTCTTAATTAGCATTTCAACGTTTCATAATTATTTCATTACCAGATTATAATAAAATAGAATCAAATTAAATATCAATTACTTTTGTTTATTTATGCACTAACTTATTAACATTAAAGTTATAATTATTTATATTTACTTATTCTAACAATTAAGTTATAAAGTACAAAATCAGTAAAATTAATGACTTTGAACAATTATTGTTCTAATATTTTATGCCATATTTTACAAAATCCAATATTCACAACTTCAAATTTATTATGAAAAACTATTATACAGATATCTATATTTTTTTATCTTTTTGTAAAAGTCAAATTGTTATTCATTGAAATAGTAGGTAACTGCTTAATACATATAATAGGTCTGGTGCACTACAAAGTGCACTTATGAAGTGCACTAGTAGTGCACTACTAGTGCACTTTGTAGTGCACTAGTAGTGCACATCTAGTGCACTCCTAGTGCACTTTGTGTAACCTTTAGTGTGAACTCAACTGTATATAGCCTATTACTACGGTTGTTTCAGTTTTAACACGGGGCCATATGTTGCTATTCACAAGCAAATAGACAGTCTATAACTGCCAGCATTTAAGATTTTTACATGGGGCCATACGTGGCTAAGTAATAGAAACAAATGCAACCGTTTAGAATTTTTCATGGGGTCATACGTGGCTATATATACATAGGAGCGTAATATTCTTGCTTAGCGGGTAAATATGTGGTATTTTTCCAAGAGAGCATATGTAATCCTGTGCGGGATATATAAACAAGCTCGGCCTTTAACCATCAATGTATTTTCATGAGGCCATTGTGTGTACGTGGCTACCTGCAAGAGACAATATATAGTCATCTCAGTTTTTGCATGGAACCATAATATGATTCGTGGTTATTGTCAAGAGGCAATGTACAGCTCGTTTTGAAGCCATAAAAAATAAAAGTATATATTGATATGATAATATTAATTAATATAGTCTGAGACGTTAGCCAATTTTATTTTCATAGGGCTATAAGAAGCAATTATATACGAATTATCATAAAAAGTCTGACTGGACAACCATTCGCTACGATCACCACTGTTCTTTATATGTAATGTTTTAAAGATTTTTCCATTTGATAGAGTTCTACAATACTTTTTAAACGTACCGTAATAAGCTGTATCATAGGCGGACCCTGGAAGAAAATACACAGATTTAGTGTTCTAGTGCCCAGCGGTTGATGGCCCACAATCACTGTAGCGACTGATCGCCATAAGAGAGACCCCATTTTTCTACTAAAACTCAGTAGATATTTAACATATTTTATCAGTACTGTATGGTAGCAAGTAAATGAAGAGGGAAAGGGAAGTATTTTCTGTAGCTACTGTATTTAAAGAGTATATTTTTGTAAAAATATAGTAATGTATTGATGCCTGTCATTATAAATAATGTCACTCATGTTTTTTTTCGTACCACAATAATCTCGCGCCATGTGCAAAGCATGACTTATGCAGCATGTGCAGATTAACATTAATTCTCTTTCTTTCTAGAAAAAAAAACACTACTGTAAGATAGCTGAAGCCTTTGATAAATAAGTGACTTCTCTCATTTCTAATTCATAATACTGTACAGAATCTATCAGTCTATGTAAGAAATATAAGAATTAAAATTAAATTTAGAAATTAAAATTAGTACATCTGTACTGTGTAGGTCTGTCATAAAAATAGGTCAAGTAAACATGTGCCAAGGTTTTATAGGACCAAGATGACACAAAGGCTGAATTAATTTTAAGGTCAAGCTTATTCCTATAAGTATAAGTTAAGTATGACGCCATTTGAGATATAATTATATATTTTCTTTGCCCAGGCTTGAGAAACATAACCTATAACAAGTACGTAATGTCTGATATATTGGACTAGGGTCAAGCTCAATTTGAGTCCTGTTTATTATTCAAAACACTTTACTTGATTACGACCATCCCAGCACAAACTTGGTTATGAACATTATTTTTGTTATACATAGAGGATATTGAACAAGTGTAAGTTTAGTACTGAATTTATTGAACGAGTTGAATAAAAATTTATTATATCAACCTCTGGAGAGCATAATATTATCTTATTCAACAAATTCAATATATTCAGTAATGACCTTACACAAATATGTTATACTATTTAACACTTTAACAACTATTATTTTAAAGTGCAAAAGAACCATTTACATTGACGCGCTGACATCTAGCGCGACTCAACTCTATGTTTGTATAATGCAAATGACGTCACATCCAAAATATATGCATGGCCCTGCAATACCATTTTACGGAGTCACAAAGTTAGCACAGGTATGTGTGATGTGATAAGGTAATTTATAAAAGAAAGAATACTTAATTACATTTGATTATGAAAACTTCCACCTTTACCATGCTGGAAATCAAATAAATATTAGTGACCTTGTTATAAGAAAGTGCACACTCAACTGTAACACACCTAGTATTTAGTTTGACTTTGTATTATTTTCAGTTATTGATAACACTACAGTTCCTTGCTAAAGGAGAGTTTTATAGTGAGGGAGGATTGACACATGGTGTGTCGAAAAGTTCAGTGTGCCGGTGCATTTGGCAGGTATTGTTTTTTTTTTTCGTGGGCTGTAATGTTGTTTCAACACTTTTAGGGTCAAACTATGATGACACCCCCAGCTTTACTTGTGGAGGAAGACCTCATCACATGAAGTCACCCTTTTTGCATAGTTTCAGGCACATATTAAAATAACCGCAAACGTTATCATTATGTTACCTTATATTAATCTGTTGACCATGGACTTGGTTGTCAATAAGTTTTCAAAAAAGTTAGTTTTTAATAAGAGGTGGTCATTTTCGTTTGCGTCAAATATGACAGAGTGGTTTGAAAAACGGGTGGTATTATAGTTTCCCCCCTGGAGGGCGGGCTTGGTGGGCCGCGTCCAACTTTTGTAAATGACAAATCTGCTTGGATACCCTGTCTTATATATTTATAATGAGAATTCAACTCTATATAAGGACACATTTATTGTCTTGCTATTGAGTTAATGCTTAAAAAATAATGTTCAGTAAAATTGTAAATGGATCTTTTATGGAAAAGTATGCTGTTGTAATTAAGTTCAAGTTAAATTTTTCAATGTAACATGTCAACATGAAGCAGATAAATAGTTTTACACAAAAAAATATCATTATTTATCCTATAAATGTTGATACTAAATCAAACTGAAATCTTAAAACATTATGCCTTCTAGATTTAATAAGTGTATCTAAATAATACATTTTTATTATTTTAATCAATGCTTGAAATGAAATGCATATGGAAAATCCATATTAAAAAAAACAACATAAATGAATTACAGCTACAAAAATTTATATAGCATGCTTAATTATGTGAAAAATGTTATTTCATTTAAATGATGTATATTTTGAAATATTTTAAAAACAGGTGATAGCTGCTTTAGACCAGAGACTAGACAATATCAAATTCGCCACGAGTCCTGATGAACTTGCTTTAATTAAGCAAAAATTCTACAAGATTGCACGCATACCAAACTGTATTTGTGCAATTGACTGCACACTAATTCCAATCCTTTCTCCAAAAGAAAGAGAAGATGTATACGTGTGCAGAAAAGGCTACCATGCCATCAATGTACAGGCTGTGGTTGATACCAATGTGAAGTAAGAAAAAGCTTTTTTATACGCCCGTTTTTGAAAAAACGGGACGTATTATGGGAACGCCCCTGGCGGGCGGGCGGGCGGTCGGGCGGGCGGGCGGGCGGGCGGCGTCCAATTTTGTCCGGAGCATATCTCCTACATGTATGGAGGGATTTTAATGAAACTTCATATAAATGTTCACCACTATGAGGAGCAGTGTCGCGCACATGAACCAGGTCTCTAGGTCAAAGGTCAAGGTCACACTTAGAGGTCATTGAAAAATGCTTGTCCGGAGCAAAACTTCCACATGTATAGAGGGATTTCAATATTACTTGGCACAAATGTTCACCATTGTGAGGCGGAGTGTCGCGTGCAAGATTCAGGTCCTTGCGGCCAAGGTCAAGGTCACACATAGAGGTCAAAGTTCAGATAAAAATATGAAGATGTGTATATGGACCATTTAGTCATCATTAATTAAGGGATTGTAACACAAATGGTCATTATCAAGACTATGGCTGTGATACATATAATTTAGGTCAATATATACAAGGTCAAGGTCACTAAAGATGATGAAATATCCAGATTTTGTAAATAGAATTTAATCAAAGGGAGACAACAAAGTTATTACTTTGTTCATAAATGACTTACACAATTACTCCCCTTGATCTAAAAATAGAATTTAATCAAAGGGCATGAAATAATCCTCTTTCTTGGACTTGAGTATGTTGTAAAGAATGTAACATTTATTTACACATGTTTCATTCATTGGTCAAGATTCTTAACTGTGATAACTATGGTGTTCTGTAGACTTGGTATTTGTTCATAAAGATCATACAGTAATTACCTTATCAAATGTAAATACTTTCTCATAGAAATTTAATTATATTTTAATTTTCAAGTAAATATCAGTTCAGCTCATTCAAAGATTAAGAATTGTAATGAAATGTATTTCCCTAGAATAAAATCTTAAATCAGAATTTTTTAGTTATTAAATTACATGTACTTTTCATACGCCTGTTTAAAAAAAGATAAAAATATGAAGATGTGTATAGGGACGATTTAATCATCATTTATTGAGGGATTGTAACACAAATGGTCATTATAATGACTACGGCTGTGACACATGTACTTTAGGTCAATATATGCAAGGTCAAGGTCACTAAAGATGGTGAAATATCCAGATTTTGTCTGGAGCATATCTCATACATGTATGGAAGAATTTTTATAATACTTTATGGAAATGTTCACCACCATGGTATGTATTGCTCCATGCATGATCCAGGTCTCCAGGTCAAAGGTCAAAGGTCACACTTAGAGCTCATTGAAAAACGCTTGTCCGGAGCAAAACTTCTACATTCATAGGGGGTTTTCAATATAACTTGGCACAAATGTTCACCATTGTGAGGCCGAGTGTCGCATGCAAAATTCAGATCCCTGTGACCAAAGTCAAGGTTACACTTAGAGGTCAAAGTTCAGATAAAAATTTGAAGATGGTTATAGGGACCATTGAGTCATCATTTATTGATGGATTGTAGCACAAATGGTAACTATCATGACTACAGGTGTTACACATTTAATTTAGGTTAATATTTGCAAGGTCAAGGTCACTGTAGATGATTAAATATCCAGATGTTGTCCGGAGCATATTTTCTACATGCATGGAGAATTTTAATGTTACTTTTATAGAATTGTTCACCACCATGAGACGTAGTGCCCTGCACATAAACCAAGTCTCTAGGTCAAAGGTGAAGGTCACAGTTAGAGCTCATAGAAAAACACTTGTCTGGAGCAAAACTTCTACATGCATAGAGGGATTTCAATATAATTTGGCACAAATGTTCATCATTGTGAGGCTGAGTGCCGTGCATAAAATTCAGGTCCCTGCAACCAAGGTCAAGGTCACACATTCTGTGCATATCTTCCCTATTGATTTGTTTTAAGGTTCATTTAACAACACAGTGCCGAGAATAAAAACTTGCTTGCTAGATAACACTTATCCATAATGCCCCCATCTCCATCTAAAGCTTTTTCGTAAACGGGCGTATTTTGTGACTATGGCACCCTTGTTTAATTTATTAAAAGGTACAACTTAATGGTGTTATGATATTTTCAATATATGTCAAAATCAATTAAATTAAATCATAAAATTTATTAAATATAGAATTATTTACAAAATTTCCAATTTTTAGTCTAGAGTGGTGGCTTGGCAAAGAGGCTAACAAGTTGGATTAAAATATTCAAAACCTTTTCTTTCATGAACCAGAAACTACACAAATGAATTTTTATGCCACCGGAGCATCTGCTATGCAATGGCATATTAGTGATTCACCTGTGTGGGTGTTTTGATTATATAGTGAACTTAAAAAATCTTCTTGTAAAGACCCACAAGGCCTAGAGCTTAGATATATTGCATAAGGCATTGTCTGGTAGACCTCTACCAAGATTGTTCAAATTATAACCCTGGGGTCAAAATTGGCCCTACCCCAGGGGTCATTGATTTTCACTATATGTACATATAGTAAAAACTTAAAATACCTTCTTGTCTGAAGGTACAAGGCTTAGAGCTTTGATATTTGATAAATGATATCATCTATAGGTACTCTACCAAAGTTGTTCTAGCGTCAAAATTTGCCCCCCACCCCCACGGGGGTCATAGGTTTTCAGTAAAAAACTTAAAAAATCATCTTCTCTAAGTTGACAAAGGCTAGATATTTTGCATGAAACAATATGTAGTAAACCTCTACCAAGATTGTTCAAATTATAGTCCTGGTGTCAAATTGGCCCTCCCAGGGGCCATTGAATTTCACTATGTACATATAGTAACAAAAAAAAAAAATCCTCTGTCTGAAGGTACAAGGCTTAGAGCTTTCATGTTTGCTTTATAATATCATTCATAGGTCTACTATCAAACTTGTTCAAATTTTGCCCCTGGTGTCAAAATTGGCCCTGCCAGGGGACATTAATTTTCATAATGTAAACATAGAATAAACAGAAACTAAACCAAATGTTTTCTGAATTGGAGAAAGCTACAGCTTAGATATTTGACATAAAATGTTGTTTGGTGGACCTGTATCAAGTTTGTTTGAATTAAACCCTTGGGTCAAAATTTTGCCCAAGGGGACAGTGACCTACTTTCTTGTCCTTTGATGTATAGCCAGGACTCGAGCTAGTGGGCGATTCAGGCGAAATAGTCGCCGACATCCTACATGAAAGCGAAGATGAAGTCGCCCGATTTTATTGATCCATTATTGAAAATTACCAACAATAACAAAAACTGTGAATAACATGTTGTGTGTGTTTGCTTTGTTTACCCTCGCCGCCTGAAAAAGGGACTGTCATGCATCTCAATCAACGCGAAATGTCATTAATCCGTTTGTTTACCAACATGTCATAGAAGTCTAATTAACAGACCCTCGAGGAACAATTAGACTCCGCCCACGGCGAGATTACCGATACGTGCGAGAAACCAATCGTAATTCACGTTTTAATCGAGGCGACATTATTAAACCAATCATTAAATCCCTAACATACAACTACCCATAACAATTATTTATGATGGACGGATCAAACGTCAATTAAATTTTCACTATCGAATGATTGTCAGAATTAAGAGGACCGCTCAACATATAACTGTAACTGTAATTTTAAATGAAAGTTATGATAACCTTTTTTGTCGACGAGTTTAATTTGATAAAATTGACGACGTATTACACTGTATTTATTACAAATGAAGTTAAATTAAAGATCGTTTCTTTCGTTATCTACTTTCATTTTCTTTACAACATAAGTGAATATGAATATAATGTCCGGCGCAAGCTTTTTGATAGTAAATCAGAAGGGAATAACTGTTAATCTGCCCATGATATGATCCATGATACTAGGAATCAACTATGGCTTTTTTATCTTCATTTAATGCAATGGTTGCATTACATGATACTCATTCTTATTACTTTTAAATTAAAATTGAATATTCTGTTGTAACACAAATCCAATTCATTTAATAAGATATGTACAGTGAGTCAACATAATTGCGATAACATACAACAAACATCGATAAATGAATCTCCTCACTTCTCCCTAAAGTCTCCCCACTTCTCCCTAAAGCAGCTGGAGGGAGAAGTGACTTCTCCCTAAATTTTGAACCTAGCTTGAGCCCTGATAGCAATGAAATTTTGACTACAGTAGGGTGAACGTTTCGGTTGTCAAAAATAGCGTTTTTCGTGCGTCCGTTTTTCGTGTAACGTGCGTGCGTATAGCGTGCAACGTGCGTTTGCTGAAACGCTTTCTCAAGCGTGCATCGTTTACAAGTGTTTAACGTTTATCGTTTTTCGTGTATCGTTTTTCGTTTATCGTGCGTCTGAAAGCGTGCGTTTCTTATTCCCAGAAACGTTTAGCGTGCGTTTGCGTTCATCTAAGCGCTTATTATTGTGATATTTACATTAAAGTTTTAAAGTTTGTAACATCGCGGTGAATACTGGTAAGATTTCTACATGCTTTACGCCGAAGATTAATTAGTTTTAATCCTATTTTACATACGCATAAGATATAATTACTAATTAATTGCAACATTTTTGATATTCAATTCAGCAAACAGGTGTTTATATGCGTACCAATATACAAATGTATATTAGATATGAGGTTTGTCAGACATCAATTTCAAATGATGGTAATCAGACTAGCACCCCACCCCCTTTACAAGTTCATCTTCTGACTTTTCATCAAAGACTGTCCGAATCCTATCCGAATGATATTTAGGGTGATAATTATTTTAGACAGTTCCTTCCTTATTTTTCTTGACAGATTTATATTGATATGTAACAGCCTGGCAGGAACTCGAACCCCTGACACTCGGAATACGATTCCGCGGCTCTTGAGTTCCTCTGAGCTATTCGGGCCGCTTACACGTTTTACTTGTTTAAATACTGAATAGTTATAAACCTACTGTGTATGCAAATAATTCTTCGAATTTCCCAGGGTTACTTAGCATTGAATTAATTTCTAGCTGGGCTATGCAAATGTTTGTC